AACAAGACAGAAAGTTGATGATGATAGAAAACACGAGTATCCTACTTAATCTTACCTACTGTAGTCATCTCTTTATCAATTTTTAAAGTTGCTCAATAATTAGGCCAAAGTCCTTGTACAGTACAGGGTCATTGTCCAAATTTTGCTCAAAATGAAAAGGAGAAAATTCTCTATTTTTATAATTTTAAAAATACATATACATGTTCGTATATTGCATGGAAAGTTTGGACTGATTCCAATCAAATTTGGTTTTTTAATGAATTCTTAAAGTTGCTCCCAAATTGGATCTCAAAGTCCCTGTACTATAGTACACATGATTCGTTGTTCCTTAGCTACTGGTTAGAATTGAAGCTGCTATAGTTCGTATAATGAAGGCTCGTAAGAGACTCCCTCACAACAGTTTAGTGGCCGAGTGTGTGGAACAACTTAAGAACCGGTTCCCTCCTAACGCTATGATCATTAAGAGAAGAATTGAAAGTTTAATTGAAAGAGATTATCTATCAAGATCACCTGATGACAGGTAAGGCAATAATAATAAATGAATGAATAAGATTAATTTATTGTACATGTACATGTAATTGTGTACCATTTTTTGTACTTTTTGAGTATGAAAGTGCTTGCAAATTTTGTGTTTTGTTCTTCAGAAATTTAGATTTTTCTTTTTGTATTGTTTTATTGTAGGAAAGTTTATATATATATGCCATAGGATCAAATTCACTCTCTCTCTCTCCTTTTCTCTGTTTGTAACTTTTTTCAAATTTGTACTGTATCATTATTATTATTATTATTATTATTATTATTTTGTTGATGATATTCTGTTAGTTTTCATTATGACACGAGAATCATCAATGAAACCATTATACGTACACACATTCTGATTATTATTATTATTATTATTATTATTATTATTATTATTATTATTATTATTGTTATTAATTGAATTATTAAAATTAATGTCAATGGATAATAACATGATCATCTTTCCACTTAAGTTGTTCATTATTCATTACTGTGTACAGACAAGGAGCAGAACACAACTGAAGAATGAAAGGTAAGTGTCTACTATTATTATTATTATTATTATTATTATTATTATTATTATTATTATTATTATTATTATTATTATTATTATTATTTACTTGTGGTGAGTTGTGTGTGTTTTCTTTCCACAGTAACTGATGGAAGTAGTTACTATCCACCAGTAGTTGCTGTAATTGTATGTTTAGTGTAGTAACTGGTAGTCCTGATAACTGATTACACTGCACATTGAGCCTCTTTAAGTTACTATAAATAGAACAATACTGTTACTATAAATAGAATAGTTTATTACTAAATAGAACAGCACTGTTACTATAAATAAAATGATTTATTACTACATTTGAATGGTTTTAGAACCTTCTGGTGCTATATATAGAATCATTACTGTTACTATTAATAGTAACACTCATTACCACAGTTGCTGTATGTCCCTTGATATCCATTGGAGGCTATTGTGTGATACATCAAGCTCCTCTAATGAGTACAGCTCAAACAATCTATTTTTAGTAACATTAAATACAGTAGTTATTAACATTAATCCTGTACCCTTGTGGTAGATCAGTTAGTAGGTTGAATGGTATCGATAATAATTGAAGTGACTTTAAACTTCTTATAGCTATAAAGTAACAAATTAGTTAACAATGAAAAATGCATTAATGATAAGGCCACTCCAATTAAATTCATAGTTTCCCGTTGCCCGCCCGCATACTGCCGCGCACCAAATTCATTAAAATCGATTATTTTTCATTATTATGTCTACCAGTACCTCGTGGCTAGTGCAGTGGC